TTGCACAATTAACTTGTAATTTTAAGGACAGTAATTCAGTGAACATACTGAACAGGTTTTTATTTTTTTCAAAGACTGAAAATCTGTCACTATTTCAGCATATTTTGTCTTCCAATGGTTAAATAAATCATTATCTGTCTATTTTAATTTAAACATTTGTGTTGTCCAAGATTGGAGACAGGTTACACAGAGCATACAGTCATATTCTAAAGCCAAACTGAGTCATGCCAAAGGTCTGTCCAGACTAGGATCCTCTCTCCTGCGGTGTCAAAAAATTAATGCCAAGGAAAGCATATAAGAACACTTTTTTTTTTACATATTCTAGGTAGCATGATGTCCCTGAGTTGGATGTAGTTTCTGCATATTTAGTAGAGTGAATTTCTTTTTTTAACTTGGCAAATCTCTCTTTGAGCCTGCATAGACTTCCAGTACACCCACAGCATCCTGCCAGGAAGGTGCTCCCCAGCAAACCTACCTGTTGCAAGTCACCTCCTTGGCTTGCTCTGAACTTGTCTCTTTGATTCATTTGATACATCTCAGTTTCTATATGCTCCCTGCCTCCACACAATCATGGATGTATAAACCTCTGTCACAGCCTCAGTCATCTAATTTACACTACAAGCGTCACAAGGGCTGACATTGCTCAATACTTTTTCAAACCCATAACTTACACCTACACCTAGTCTTAGCCACACTCCAATAACCCTTGCTAGTCTCAGGACAAACCATGCATGTACAGCTCACCAGCTAACACGAAAACCTTGTGAGAGTTAACAATACTCCTTTGGGTTCAGTCTATGTCAGCCAAGGCCCCAACTCCAGTTCTAATGATATGCATTTCTCAAAGACTGTCACACATTCCTATACTATTGTTTTTCTTTTTTATTCTACTTGTTGTCATCAGCCTTCCTTCTAGCCCCACAGAGTTAACCAAGCCTCACAATAACTTTCAGCTGTGCTGAAAGCCATAACATTTACCCTGACAAGACATACACCATAACCACATGTCCAGCTCAATGCAAACCAAGATGATCACTTGCAAACAGAAACTCCTATTTGTGCTCTGCATGATCTTCAGAAAGTTACAGAATTTGCCCTCTGCCTGAGCACTAACCCTTGCTTCAGCCACATTTAAGGTATTAGTAACCACCTCAAGATCACCATCTGACACTGGCCTTCCTCTAGTTTCATGGGACTTCTCCTTTCTGGTATTGACATCAAACTTACCTCTTCCGCTCCCTTCTTCCCAACTCAGCCCAAATTGCAAATAGCATTCTGGCTTTAAATTCACTGCTGTGACCTAAATACTGCCTTCAAAACGTCATTAAAAGCTTCTCACACCACCTCTTCATATGCTGCTGCTGTAGGTGTTCACGGCTGAGGAAAATATACACTGTTTAGCAGCTTCTCTGAGGCTGGACCATAACCACAAACTCTCCCAGCTGACTGGACATCCACCAGTTGGGCAAGACACCTCAAATACCAGCACCTACTTGGATACTGAATATCCTCAAGTCTTGAAGTCCTAGACCCTAACCTAATGTCAACCCTAACACCAAGGCCAGCAAGTTTTATCACCTTCAAATCCACCCTCCAGCAATTTACTCAGCTAACACCACTTCTTATTTCCACCCTGTGGAAATATGAAGCTTTGAAAACAATCTTACTTCTTCAGCCTCCCTCTTCCTTGCACCTAAGCTGAATGCCAGCCCTGCACCTCAGCATAGGCTTCCCACTGGCCAGACACAAAGATCTTCCTGGAAACCAGGCCAACATCACTCAACCTTGTTGGCTCCATCTGACATCCCAGACCTGCACTCATGATGACTGGCACAATGTCAGCTCTGCAGCAATTGCTTCAGCTCTGACCATGGTAAGATGAAGTCTCAGGTGAGAGTTACAGTTTGAGCCTGAAAGAGGAGGTAAGGAAGGAAAAAGTTTGTTGCAAGATAAGGGCTGTGGTCAGTGAGTGCATCATGGGCTGTCAGTTCAGAGACAGTTCTTGCATCTCTGTCTACCTTGCAGGATTGACCACTCACCCTTTTGGCAACAATTTGTCAACCCAGCAACTTACTCTAAAGTGTCATCCACATTGACTAATTGGTCTTCCCACAGCTCTGCAAGACTGGCAAGATACAACAATAAAAAATAGCTCTTATCTCTGATTTTTAGTTTATAGGTGGACCCCACAGATCTAACACGAAGACTACAGCCACCAGCACAGCTAGGCCTATAGCAAGGTCTAAGGCAGTTGGTGGGTCACTGACTATTCTGAAGGGTTAGGGACTGGGTTCAGGAAAGAAGGTGCTGTTGAGCAAGCCTAATGTGCTGGCAGGTAGACCCTATAGGCTTAGGGTGTTGTATAGGACCAGGATAGCCAGGTTTTGGCCTCTTTCAGGTTGTTTGGTTGCAAGTTCAAGGTAGAAGTCAGCTTACAGTTTGAGTTCAGAGAAATAAGAATTGCAGAGAAGATTTTAGACATATGCTACAGGTACCTCACACCTAAGATGAAGGCTCATACCAGGAGACTAGGGTTAGCATCAACAGAAGCTCAGGACTCAGTTTCTTTCTAGATCACACAGTGCCCAGTGAGTGAAGACAGGGACTGTCACAGAAGGTCAGCAACAAGATCTACAGCAGTGTAAGTGGCAGGTATTGAACTGTAGCAACATGCTGTCAGTGCCTCTGATGAGCCTTACTTGGCCCCACATCTGATGCCCATTGCTCTAGGAACCCTATGTCAGCTCAGCCCTGTCTTCTTGAATGGAGGAGCTTGGACCTGTGCCGTAGCTAGCTTGTCTCCTGGATGGAACTCCCTCAGACACATGTTCAGTAACAACTTAGGGAACTGCGGTTGTTTAGCCTGGAGAAAAGGAGGCTCAGGGGAGACCTTGTCAATCTCTAACAGCTACCTTAAAGGACATTGTAGCAAGGTGGGTGTCGGTCTCTTCTCCCAAGTAACAAGCAATAGGATGAGAGGAAATGACCTCAAGTTGTGTCAAGGGAGGTTTAGATTGGATATTAGGAAATATTTTTTCACCAAAAGGGTTGTCAAGCATTGGAACAGGCTGTCCAGGGAAGTGGTGGAATCACCACCCCTGGAGGCATTTAAAAGATGCATAGATGTAGCACTTAGGACATAGTTTAGTGGTGGACTTGGCAGTGCCAGGTTAACAGTTGGACTTTATGATCAACAAACCTACTTTTCAGCTTCTGTTGTCAGGGCCCATGCCTGAGCTTCAGCCACGGTGCCAGATCAGCAGGGAAGGAACTGCGCAGCTACATTTAACTCTGCACATTAGAAAGTCACTTAATGGCTGGCACCCAGGCTTGCTGAAAGGATAGGTTTTCTGGATGGAAGATACAGACTTCTGCATAAATTGGCTAAAGTGAAGATTAAGATCAAACTCAGCAGAGGTGGAAGACCTTGGATAACTAGAGGGTTTTAGAATCTCTACAGAACAATAATTCTGGTGTTTACTGGCAAGGGTTTACTTAATTAGGTTTGGAGCAGGTAGGTGTTGTGGGACCACAGGTGAAGCCAGAGCTGCTGCTGCGGCCAGGGAGGACCTCAGGCAGCAATGCTCTCACTTAACTTTCGTAAGTGAGACATATTTTTCATTTAATAAAATCCACAGTGCCAGTGGTAAAAATAGTCAGTGTTTCATGCCCAAAGAATGACTTAGCTTTTGGGTTTAAAAAAACCTTCTCCTGTCATTGCAAGATGTAAAGAGACAAAGGCACGAAAGACATTTGCAGCACAGAATACGTAATTGGAATCAGGCCAGAATCGTTTATGACTTGATGACCCCCATCTCAGCATAAACATACCAAGAAGGGAGAGCAGCAAATCCTTCATGCTGTGCTGCACAGAATCTGGTATTAATGACTCTGCCAGAAAGGCTGCAAACAGATCAGAGCTTTCCAAATCAGACAACGTGCTTCCTGGAAGCACTTTTAGCCGTGATGGTAATAGGAGCTGTTGTCACATTATCAGAAAGGTCTCCCAAATGAGATCCAGTCTGATTCTGCAGCAGATGTTGAATAAGGATTGCTTGATCTTAACCTGTGTCTCAGCGGCAATTCCCTGTTGGAATGAGGAGCCAGCAAGGCCAGAACATGACACAGAGGAAGACTGTTCCCATTTTCATTTGAGACATCAGGAAATTCCTCCAGAAACCTCCAAAGTATCTTTCTCCAGTTCAGTAGCTAACCAGAGCAAATAGTTATGCACTGTCTTAAGAGAAAATCAACTTCCTACCACCTTCTCTTGGTTAGGTCTGGAGGGAAGCACTAAACTGCAGTTGTCCCTGCCTTGGTGGTCTGGCCCAGCAGAGCCAGAGGGATATGATATCAGCCCACTTAACCACATACTGGGTCCCAGGCAATTAAAAAAAAAAAACATTTTTAGCAAATTTAAGCATTTATGTATCATCTTTAAAAATAAAATCTGTTAACACAAATTTCAGGTTCGTTGTTTTTAATCAATCCATGGCAGCCCATCCTATGCTTAGCCAGAGCTGTGTAGTACACTGTACCACCAGGTTCTGCCCTCCACCTTCACTGATCAGCCACAAACATGCCTGTTCTACCAACAGGCATGGTCATCCCCTTTTCATATAAATTTCAGCTGAAGTCAAAACTCTGAATGTTTGCATCCCTCACCTCAGGGGCAGCAAGTTTTAAGGTTTAAGTCACTGGGCTTTCAAGTCCTGTGCTTAGGCAATTAAACTATATTCTTTGGGCTTTACATAAAAATAAGCCGACACTTTTCAGTAAGAAAGCACCTGTAATATAACTCTACAGGACCCAGAGCATGCTTTAAGGTTCAAATAATGCTGGTTGCTTTCTATTCCAAACAGAGCAATAAAGAAAAGTAATTAAGTAAAGACAACGAAACAAGACTTCTCATTTGCCATCTGTAAAATATTTCAGTGCAGGAAAAAAATAAGGTCAAGACTACACTTTTGAAAACTTTTGTTCAATTAGCGGCATTGTACCTCGTCAGTAAATATGGCGAGAATGAAGCTGGATTGTCTTGCTCTGAAAACATCGGCATGGATCCTCCCATTATCCAGAGGCGGAAATACAACACGAGAATCACCTTCAAAAAAGAACATCTCGGTTAGTAATGTGCTACTAAGAAGAACTAAGGCCTCCAGCAAATATTTTGCTGTGATAGCTCTCCATGCTCTGTGCCTAGAAGTGAGTCAGCTCAGCAGTTCAGGCAAAATTAAATTTTGCCACCCTAGGCAGGGTGACAAATGTGCCAACCCTCAACACAGACAGCTCACTATGTTGTTATGTGTCCCCCCTTTCAAGTGTGCATTACTGACAGCAACTGGCATATCTTGGCTATCCATGACAAAGGCAGCATTCTGAAGGCTCAGACTACAGAGTTTTTCTATTGCCCTTTACGTAAATACATAGGGGAAAAACATGGCCAATGTCTTAAAAGTTGTTATCGTTCACTGATGCTGGCATAGGTGTAAACAGAAGCTCCATCAGTGTTTCTCATGCTGTGTAATCCTAATCCATGGAAGGACTCTGGGGCTGCCACTCCTCCGCCTTTTTGCAAACCACTTGCCAAGGGACAAGCAAGGGCATCCAGCTCCTAGCACAGCACAGGGAATTGCACACCCATCACATCCCCATGGAGGTGCTTGTTTCCTCCTTTGCGACATGGCAAGTCTTGGTTAGAACACGTCAAGCAGCAGGTATTTGCATGCAGAGCTTTTCTGGTGACTCTTACCGAGCCTTCCACTGAGACTAACAGCACACCACTGAAAACTCAGCCCAGTGCCAGAGAGACCCCTGGGTTTAGGGCAGGAAATACTTGCAGATGATTACACAGTTGTAAGGGCAATCACTATAAATTTAAAAAAAAAAAAAAATCGGAACCAAAACAACTGCAATATTCTTGTCTCTGCCCAGCTGAAGTTTTCTAGACTATTTTCCAAGACTAACTTTGTATTAAGAACTACGATCTAAGCTTTCCAAGTCTTTTGGGACACCACCACACCCCCAGACATACAGTGTTAACTCCATTTGTACTTACGTAGCTTATCACCAAAGCAGCTCTCTTCAAGAAAGGCCTTGCAGTATACAAGAAATTCTGGTTGTTATTTGCTGTCAGGTAGCTGAAATATAAGGAAATAAGTATTTGCTGAAATATTTTTAAACAATAACTTGTTTCTCAAACTGGAAAAGAAGCTGTACACTGTTTCAACCACCCTAAACTAATATGCAGTAATGATGACATCATTCTTACTCTTCAAAGCTCTTTCCACATGACTTACATAAAATATTGAGACCACTTCAAATAATACACACTATTAATATGTTGCAGTTTCCCTTCAAAATCTGGTTTTCTTTTGGTTTGGGTTTTTTGCGTTTTGGTTGGTTGGTTGGTTTGGGGTTTTTTTCAAATCATCAATTAACTCCTTAATCCTCAGAAACCCCCTTCTATGTCTCACTAAGATTGCTGTCTTCAGACTCCCAGAAGACTACACTGAGACACATTTTTAAAAGGTCACCCAAACAGAGCAATTCAATTTTAGGCCATGATTAAAATGCAAAAACTCCGCATTCCCAGCCTCTACTCTGTCTCTAGAGACGGGAATAACTGTCTAGCAGAACTGAACTTATTTTCAGTGTATTCTGCACACTGAAGTTTCATTACAAGTCTGCTGACAAGGTGTTATGATAATTAACTGCACAGAGACAAACACAGAGGTGGCTTATTGTTGTAGGAGTGTTCATTAAAACCTTCCTGTGTCTCAATGAGTAAAATTAAACTTGTATCTGGAGCCAAAACTACACATTTATTTTAATATAGAGTGGAAGCACTTGCCAAATTCTAAGGGACTTTAACAAACAGTGCTATACGTATGACATTAATTCAATGATAATTCCATTTCTATTGAACCTCACAGAGGCTTCATCATTGTAATAAAGCAATGAGAAACAAAAATACAGAAGAGACAACAGGAATATTTTAAGCATACAGGAGCTGGAAAACTATTGAAAAAATGACAAGTAATTTTAAGAAGTTATAGATGTCAAGTAAACAAAATAAATTCAGAAGAAAAACATCTGCAGCTTCCTCTTTGTAACATACAATCAGTATTGAGATACTCTATGTAAATAATTTACAAAAACTACAGCATGAATCACAACACCTACATGCAAGTTACCTTTCCAAGCATGAAAGAATCATACACTTTTCCCTGTGAACATCTAGTCTATAAAAACATCTTATTTCCTCTCCAAATACCTCAAGACAGTCTATCATCTGATTGCTTCCACCATTCAAATCTTCGAAAAAACAAGATTGCAGCACTTCCTAATGCTGCCAAGAGTCTTTAATATCTGGCTTTTTGTTCAAATTTTCTATAGCAGGAAGTCAGCAAGCCTGGTCACCATGGCAAGATGGAGAAAAGATTACACTGCAGACAAAAGCACCAGGGGCAAAGCCAGCAAGAAACAGAGGCGTCATTTAACAAGAAGAAAGAAGTACATCTGGGTGCTTTCTACAAAATAACTGCTTTTCAGAAAACTTTCCCTAAGTGCCATGCTGAAAACTCAGGAACCAAACCATACATTGTAAAGTAAGCCAGTTGACTTTCAGTCTTTGGTGTCTACTTATTTACAAATGTTGACATTTAAGTACCAAATCTGACTTAAATGTCAGACTAGCCTTCAAGGGCTGAATTTCACAAAGTGCAAAGTTTTTTGAGCTCCCACTGATTTTAATCAAGCTCCAGAAAGTACAAGTGAGATGAAGCTAAGCCTTCAGCCTTCTCTCTCCATCAAAAGTCAGGTTCGCCTTCAAGTGCTCACCATGGCCCTGCTCCAAAGCCCACCGGAGCCAAAGGGAAAGACCCTCACTGACTTTAATAGCACTTGGATCAAACTCTGGTCTTTTGTTCTCTACTGGAACCTTTTATGAAACTCAACCCCCTCATGATTTCCAGCAGAAATGGAAGTGTTGAGTTGCATTTTATTTATGTTTTTATGGGTGGAGGGAAGAGAGCCCTCTATTAATCATGCTGTCTGACTTTTTTCAAGAGCCTGTTTTCACTCGTACTTTTAACTAAATGCAACACTTTGGGCAGAAGTATTCCATTGCAAATATTTGCTTTAGGTGGAATTATTATGGGGAAAGATCAGCCAGAACATTTCAGCTTTTTTCTCCAAGACTTCAATTAGAGACAGAGGTGCACTTTTAACAACATCAAGAAGTCTGCCAACTTCATCCTTCAGAAAATGCATCAATTTGCACCAGTGACCTAAAACCCACGCGGCAGCCACCATCTCTGGGCCACATATTTGATACCCTCCAAAACAGCCACCCAAAGTAGGGCAAGCCACAAGCTCGGGGGACAGAACCTGTGAGGAGGTAGGGACATGCAGAACCCACTACTTTACCATGCTTGGCAGAGATCTGGCTTTTAACAGATCAAGTTTGCATCAAACATGTTCCAGCTGCAACAACTGCTAGGGACAACATGCTGTTTGTGAAGTCAACCCTTCAGAGAGAAGGGTCAGCTGCATATTAGGCTGCTGAGGCTCAGGAAAGTGCGTCTGTGCTTCAGGGTCCTGCAAACACTGATCTAGATCTGGAGACCATCATAGAGGAACCCTCGTCATTATCATCTCTCTGTTCTCTCTCAAGCCTGCCCTGAGAAGAAAATTAAAGCCAGAAATGAATGCAAATGGAAGGCAGTAGATGCTATTTCATCCTTGGCAGTATAGCGCAAGAATGCTCACTCTAAACATCTTGATTTTGATTTCTTTTTGTCTGCCTATAAGTAACTAAAACATTGCCCACATCTCGCATCTTCTTTGGAATAAGCATAACACCATGCAAGCTACCGAACACTGTTTCAGGGCATGAGTTTATCCACAAGTCAAAGTTGAATTGAAATGTTCCACTGAATTGCAGGGTAGCTCTGGTCACTGCAGAGCAGGCCTTCTGAAAGCATTTCAGAAAATCTTGAAGGGGCCCTCACAGTTTATGCTGTGGAAAAAAACAAACAAAACCCAAACCACCCAAACAAACAAAATACAAAAGCCCTGCATTGACACCAATTGCAAATCACCACTCTGTGCTGAAGAGCAGGTGGGCAGCAAGCAAGAAGATACCAGAATGAAAGCAATGGGTAACTGGGAATAGGTGAAGCAAGAGAGTTCAGAGCTCCCTGAACTCTTCTGATGCTTCCTCCAAATGAATTTGCTACTTTGCAGCTTCAGTTAAGAAACATCTGTTTTCACGGTAGTTGAATTAAGAAGCAAAACTTTCCCATTTTGAGAAAGCTACTGTCCTGAAGTCTATCTGGAAACCACAAAAGATTGCTTGATAATCCAATTTATCCAGATTATCCAATGAACCATGGTTCATTACTTGATAATCCAGCTCTCTGCACATCAGATCAACCCGTAGGAGTGGCATAAATGTATGGGTTATGCTCAAAGCATCAAAGCTTTACAAGAACCATGTGGTTTTTCAGAGTACATTTTTGAGGCTACTACTTGTTTCAGGAAAAGTAACTACTACAACATCTGCCTGGTGCAGGCAAAGAACAATGCACAGTTTATGTATTGAAATCAAATTAAGTGGGACCTGGATGAGGAAGTTTGCTAAATGTCAGTGGCACACAGCATGTAAAATGCAGTAGCATTTGACATGTAAAATTGCAGCTTGCAAAAATATCAGTTATAATGAACTTTGCTCAGACAACCTTAAGATCAGCCAAAGCGCTTTATTTTGTCTTTAGCTGGGACAATTAAAGCTATTATACAACAGCTGAACTGTTTTATACCTGTTTTAAACAGCTGCCTTGTATAAAGTCATTTACAGGTCAGATTTCCACGCATTTGCCAACCACACCAGGCTGCCAAACATCCCACTGTTCATGGGAGCCACTCCCAATCTCCTGCTCCACCCCAACCAGCATAACGCAGTTACCCATGCCAAAACACACGCACGCATTCACTCCCACATCACAGCCGGTGTGGGACATACATAGGAAAACTGTACTGACGGTAGCTCCACGCAGCAAAATGCTACCTCTGGAGCAGGTGAACATTTCAAGCTGTGGGTCTCCCAGTTTTTCACAACGAAATTATAAAATTAGAGGAGGAAACCCAGATCACCAGGTTTGCTGAACGAGTGTGAATAGAGCCTGTTTGGGTGGAGGTTCCACCTTTGCTTCGTGCCAGCTTTCCCACAAAGCAAACCAGCATGTAATTGCCTACTTGCTACCTTTTAAAAGCCTTTCAGGAATACTCCCTGAAGCAACCAGAATCACAACAAACAATAAATCCAAGAAATGCTTAATAATGCAGGGACTTCTCTCGCGCAGTTCGAGCAGAGGCCAAGACAGATATTTGGCAGCTCGGGCTTCCTGAAAAGCACGGCTCATCCTGAAATCAATTACGTCATTGGGGCACTCAGAGGTTTTATAATTGAAGACAGCAGGGTAGGTGGCCTAGTAAAACTCGATACCATGCAGTTTACAGGAATGTAAACTTTGCTGGTACCAGATGGACTCTGTGTTAATCAAAACAAACTTCCCTAAGAAGCAGGCAGCTTTTTTTATTTGCCTGTACTGTTGGAGGCATCTGGAGTTCACAGAAAGAAGTGGGGCAGCTCCTCAGCTCCCATTCATTGCCAGGGCTGTGTGAGTGATGGCCAGCTGGTATCGGCAACACATTTTGTTTTATGCAGAGGACTCAGCTTTGGTATAAAACATGAATTTGCTCTTCTGTTCTCTTTGAAGGCTTTCTCAAGGGAAGAGAACAAACAATTAGGATGTTTGATGGATGTTCCCCATCGGGGACATCTAAAAGACCAAGGTAAGTATGCAGCAGAACAAGCTTTGGTATTTCAAGAGCTTGTTTTGGCCAGGTCCCTCTGCTGTGAGAGGATCACTGCTCCCATTGATATTCTTCTCAGGAAATGGATTTAACTCCCAGCAACTGCCAGTGTTTTGAACGAACACTTTCAAAACCCTAATACTAAAGGAAGACATTAGAAGGATGAGTACAAAAGCAAAGCTGTTAACTTATTCTTAATTATTGATAACATTAAGACACCTCCAATCAAGACACTTTAAAACTTAGAAGGGGCTATTTT